GCAGAAGCTGTGTGGAAATCAAAGAAACCACTGAGAACAACGCATGTAACTTTGGCAGAAGCTGTGTGGAAATCAAAGAAACCACTGAGAACAACACAAGTAACTGCGCTAGAAACTGGAAAAACTTCTAGAATAGCGTATGTAAATATGGTAGGAAAACAACCTTGAGAACGGCGCATGTAACTGGTTGAAAGGCTGGAATCTGAGTGGAAACAAACGACTAAGACAGTTTAGAAGAAACAAGAGTATTTTGTTGTTGCTTACACATCTAACTATGATATAAACTGTAAGAAAAACTCACACTTGACAATATTACATGTAACGCGGTTGTTTTTTAATTTGGCGTTTTATGGTTGTCGGCAACTCGCCCTAGTTCCAGTTTTGAACTTTTGATAGCGTTAACAAACGTGTTCTATGCCAGTTGTACATGATCACCAACTTATCTAATAATGAACAGCTATTGGAATTATATTATGTATTAAAACTGTGTTTGAAAGTGAGTGTTTTTTATCTTTAAATTCCAGCTAAGTCAATTGCTGAGAATAATTACAATCGTGAATTTTTCAAGAACGTTCATTTTTGCTAGGAACGAGCAGTAAGTAATGACTCGAGTTAGGCGTGAGGCGGGTAGGGTAAAATCACTGATACCTATTGTGAATGGCCTAACTCGATCTAGCGAGGCTTGAGCAGTGATTGAATCCTACGGTTGGGGTAAGTGAAGGAAAGAAGAGGCTTTAAAATCCAAAGGAAAGAGCATTCTGCTTGTTAGTCCCCACTAAGATATTGCTTATAACACGTAGTAAAGCTCCATTCCGACTAGTTAACAGTCAAACCGAGTTACGCACGAATAGAGCTATTGTTCGTGAGAGCCATGACCCTTTTTCCCTGCCACAATTCATCTTTATGTGAACGTCGTAAGTACGATACGGAAAAGTATCCTGAAAACAGCCAGATGGGTGGGATTGAACAAACTGGGTGAGTTGCGGTTCACACAAAAACAGAGATTGCTCACAATAGCAGCTGAAACGTTGTATTTTAAACGCCGAGTTGACCGAAGATAGGCTTACGAGATTAAAAGACAGTACTGTTATCATATACTTCTGACCTGTAACTCCACGTTATTCTTCCATTTATACATTGCGTGCACAGTGTTAAGTACAGACACTTTTGTTATATCATACACGTGTTGCCAGCGTTTCCATTTTGTTGACTAAAGTTAAAAATCCCGTCATTCGTGGGTTCTGTGTTTCTTTATCCTTTGATATAGAGTAGAATAAGAATTTCTCAACTAAGAACTAGTTTATATTAGGTTTTTTATCACTTTTGTTTGTGTATTTTCTTGAATACGCTATTTCTCGAATCAATTCACAATTCCCTCGTGACTTTGATACCCAATAAATGTAGGAATTGCTGAAGCCTATATCTATTCTATATAACAAATTGACTAGCAGCATCCTTCATGTAATAAATCATTATACTAGGAAATTAAAATATTATACAACAGTAAATATAAGAAATGAATTTTAAAGTATTCAGTTAACATTCAAACAACGTAAAAGATATAAGGAGGTTAATATTTCCACATGATGGTCATAATAACATATCTTTGAAAGTAAAACTTTTTCTGCAAAACGACACCGTAGACTTTAATTCTAAGGTCATTAGGTGATTGAAATATCCTTTAACAGCGGTTTGGCATTTGGTCTTTTTTGTATCTAAGTTTAAATATTATTCTAACTTTTGCGTTATATTTGATATTTTCTGGAGTACCATCCTTCAGACGTTCACCTGACATGATGAGATACTTGGTTTGTTTTCTGTTATTCATTCAAGGTGAATAAACATTATAGAGACAAACTTTAAATTGTCCAGTGTTTATTGATTATTTAAATGTAACAGCCGCTTATATGTATCTTTTAATGCCAATCAATCCACTTCTTGGGGAAAATGTTTTCAGACAAATTGAACGCGATGGTGTATTTTACTAATTCTAAGAACCCGTGAGAGAAAGCAAAGGGAAATATGTTATAAAATGTCAACCACACTACATCTATCACATCCAGTGCTTACGAGGCTCTATACCAGGACTCATCAAGCCGGCTGGAATACACGACAGATATGTTTGTTTTTGAATTTCGCGCAAAGCTACACGAGGGTTATCTGCGCTACGACAGATATAATAGTGGTCTATGCGCTATATATGTAAAATCACTTTTCACGAACAACGATTTTTTTGTGATTTGAAGTACGTAAATGAATCAAGTGAATTGTAATTATTATCAATTTCTATTTACATCGTTTTCTAATTAGATTTTTATGTTAAGAATTAATAACACTATCACAACCAAAATAAATATGCTTTCAATTATTGG